TTGATGTAAATTTATCTTTATTATTTATTTTTATCATGATTTGAAAATTGATATAAAGGGAAAAGAATTACAACATTGTATTCTTCCCTTCTTTTTGACAATAACAAAGGGGAAGAAAGTATTACTCTATGATGTATTGCATATGATGTGATTCATGATTAAAATCGTTTCAAATTAGATTTGAAGGTTATCATTAATTTGAATGATGCTTCATTTCAATATGACATGTTGATAGGGGGAGTTTAGTTTAAACTCCGTCATCAATTGGTTGTCATCATAAAAAGGGGGAGATTGTTGAATGTTGAATTTTGATGATGAAATCGATTGATGAAGTTATGAACTAATATGCGTTTAAAATAAGTGACGTATGAAAAACTTTGATTGTGAACTTGAATCATGGAAGCAAAATCTAAATTTGGGTCGGAGAGCATTATGTCAAATGATTGGTCGACATGTCAAAGGATAGACTTCGTGTCATGAGTTTGAGTATCGGGCCAGAAGAATCGGGTATTACGCCAAGATAGTCGAGTGTTGTGGGAAGTCAACATGTTGATTGAGTAATACATCGAATGAAAGGACGATGTGTTGAAGGATCGGACGAAGCACCGGATGTACCAATGACATGCCGAACAACGTAGGCTTCATGATTGTAATTAAATCTTGGTTGAAGTTTAGAGTCTAATTGAGTCGATTTTGGGGTGTAACCATGCCAATTCAATTAGGGGCCTATTGGGCCTAAGTTGGGATTGTTTTAGGCCAAGTGGAAGCCTCATTTAGTGACTCAAGGTTAGGTAGAACCACCTATAAGCTGAAAAAGTCAAGAGCACACTTTTCTAGGCTGCCAAGCGGTGGTACCGCCCAATGTCAGACTGACAAGCGATGGTACCGCCCAATGTAGGCGGTGGTACCGCCCATACCCAAAAGACCCGAAATTTTAAATTTTTGGCTCTATTTTTTAAACCATTTAGGGCATATAAATACCCCACTTTAGCAGCAAGAAAGAAGCAAGAATTCTTAAGAAAAAAACTGAGAAAACTTTGTCAAAACATTGAGTTCCCTCCTCAAGCTTAGAAGTAGATCTAAGGGAGATGTGTGAGGGTTATATTGTAAAAAGGGGGTATAAAGGTTCTCTCCTGAGCTTGTCAAAAAGAGAAAAAGTTGTAAGGGCAGTTGATATTCGCCCATTGGAAATAAAATAGATAGTGAAAGCCGGTAGCCTCGATTGAAGAGGAATTGGGAGTGGACGTAGGTCATAACGATCGAACCACTATAAATCCAGTGTGCTCTTTTCTTTTGTTGTTTACCTCTATTGCAAACTGCTTTACTTGCTCATTATATTCTTACAAACGTTTTCAAGTTAAACATTTTTTCGATATGGGCTTTATCGAATGAAGTTTTCAAACTATCGAAGTTTTACGAAAGCACTAATTAACCACCCCCCCTCTTAGTGCTGATAGAGTCCTAACAATTTTCACTTGCTACAACAACCATAGTAAACGGTGTAAAATGTTAATAATCTCAGCACTATTGAACCTCTAAGGTGGCATAGGATTGGTTGAACGGGGCTTCTAGGTAGCAAGACAATATTATACCATTCTTTGTTTGTCATTCGCTCATTGTCGCTTACTGATAGCCAAAATTGGTTTATTTTGGGTGGATCAATGTTAAATGAGCATTTGTGCATAATGACTTTGTGAGTGGTGGACTGGGTTAGACCCTTTATTATGCAACTATTTAGATATTGTAAAGATCATCTTTGTATTTTAGTATAAGTGTGCGATAATATCTACTTATATGATCACAAGTTTTGCTTTCACTAACCCATCTTTTCCTTACAAGTCCCTACTAGATTGCATGAGGTTATGGGGAGGCTAGCCTTTTGCAAACATATATCACAAGGTTGTTGCACGATGGATATTAATATCATAGTAAGACAAGTATGTTCAAAAATATTTGGCATGTAACATGAGGGACCTAGTAGGATTGCATAAAGGGTAGTCTACACACATGATTGTTTGGGGAGAATAAGCTCTACATAGGGAATAAAATCATTCATTCCTAGGAATAGCTAACCTCAATGTCATTAACCTAACTTAACAATACTTGGTACAAAGTGATAGCTTGTAATGGATAAGATTATGCAAATCAGTAAAAAGTTAATCGGTGATCAAAAGAGTTACTACAATGACTCATGTGATCAAAAGAATTGATGACTTGAAGATTTTCAATATTGTGTCACCAAGTATAAATCAATTCTAATATCATTTGTTAATTTATGTGTGCTATCCTTATGCAGATTCACCAACTCGATCCATGTGTCTATTATTTTAAGGGTCATGGCATATTGGGCGATAAATTCTAGAGTTAAGCTTTATCCATCGGCTCAAGTGCAAATTAGTGAATGTGTTGATACCACATAGGTGAGTTCTCTATGCATGCTACTAATTTTCATTTGGAGATGTCTATGAACTTAGAGTGAGTGTCATGGTATCATAAAGGTAAATCTTCGATACATGCATTGGATAAAGGCTATGGGAATTAATGGATGGACTTAACTAACTAAAGCTATCAACATGAGTCTTCTAAGTAAATTTCAATTAGTCTAGAGAGATTTAGCTACCCAAATCAAGTGTCAATTAGAATGAAGGTAGACTCGATTGGATGCCAAGAGACTATAGTGGTAAATTCTACCGATCACAAGAAAGGGATGTGATGTGAGGCCACTAACAAGGTCATGGCCATGAGAGAGCACTACGATATTATAGAGGTGAAACTTCTGGATGATCATGATCATAAAGGTAGAGCACATTAGTCAAGAAAGAGGCAGAGATGATGGAGGATGGCTAAAGGTCTTCACAAGGCTTATGTCGAAGGATTTCTTATTAAATCAACTGAAAGTTGGGGATGATCGACTAAGGCATAAAGTAGACAATAGTAGGCGTTGTTCCCTTCTTTGATCATACGAGCAAGCAATAAAAATAATGAAAATGTGGTACAACCCTAGAGGGACAATCAAATCTATCGAGCAAAATTTTACTCTTTCAAGAAAACACTTCTAATGCAATGGAAGTTTGATGATAAGGAGAAGGTAAATTTCAATAACCAACTTTATGATAATACTTCCAAAAGTGTGAGAAAAGGGCAAGCACAAGTTGGTAACTAGCATGATGTGTAGAGTATAACACTGGAGGAAGCAGGTAAAGTTAAATAATCTTGGTCTTCTTAACATTTGAGAGGATGGACAAAATCGAACAGTATCCCATTTCTCTTACTTATCTAATAGGGAAGCTTTGCACACTTCAAAAGTTTCTTTGAAAAGTATTAAAAAGAAGATAATAATTATTAAATCCTTACTAGTGTTGATCGACTTTACCAAAGAGAAGAATGCCCCAAAACTTCAAATTATATAAGGTGATGCTTGTTAAAGCTCTAATGTGTATTAGTTCACCGACATAAGACATTTGAGACATTTGAGGAACTAGCATGCAAAATTGAAAGTTTTTTTCCTTCGTAGTGAGTTAAGACAACATAGTAGTTAAAAGTTGTAACAATATTGAAAGACTAGCTTGGAGTTAAGTGGTGTAGAAGTCAAAGATGAATAGCTTGGAGTTAGGTGGTGTAGCAGCCAAAGAAGAATTGAAGATGTAACAGAGGAGTTGTAGCATCCGCAAAGACTATAATAAGATTGTTGAATGAATAAGCAAGGAGAAATATCATAAAATGTGGTAGTCAGGTATTTGATGCATGTTTGCGACATATTTTGGTATCTTGTTTTAGTGATTTCAATTGTTTTCACCTAGACATCTTGTTTAATAGTCTTGTATAATAATAAGTAATTTTAGGGTTAGACTAATATTGATAAAATAATTTAATTAATAATATAGGGGCAATATTGAAAAAAAAAGGATAGGGTTTTCTACTTAGGGAGCCCCCACCTTTATTATTGGTACGATGACTCACCCATGTTGAGAATGAGAGCCCTAAATCTAGAGACAAAGAGGGCGACCAACAAGAAATCAGATAAGATCTGTTGTTCTTTTTGTCTTTTAGATCCTTTTAATGATATTATCAAAATATAGATGTGTTAACTATGATGAAACTAAAAATCCATAATCCATCTTAGAAAAAGAAATTGTGAGTCGTCAGCATCCTTTTATGTATACATAGAGGTTTTTTTAAGACATAATCAAAGATCACAGCAGCATTTGTCAGATTAAAAAAAAAAACTCAAGGTAAAAAAATACCATCGTTATCGAGGCGAATTCTGCCACTTGCTCTACTTTAGTATCATGGAGGAGGGACGGCATGGCAGCGATGCCACAAACTCTGCATCAGTTTGCTGCTGCTGCTGCCTCTAAAACACAGATTTTTACCGGTGTTTCTAATCCTTTGAGGACTCTAAAACTACTGACTTGTGAGTTGCTTCCTCGATGCATTACAGCCGAAGAAGACTCTCTTCCAGTAGTACAATTTAGGGAACTCTCATTCCGTATTCAACAAGAATATTGCTTTTCACCACTGTCTAATCTCTCTCTCCATCTTTTTCCCACATTATTTCTCTGGTTGATGTTTCATAAGTTGTAACATATGCTTAATTTGCACCGCATGTGAGATAGCAAAAATTACCTCATGCATCCAATTACTGTAGTTTGGAATTCCTTAAATCCCCATGAACACGAGTCCCAGTTGTGGATCGACGACGATAGGCAGCGGATGGCGTGAGCTATAAAGAGAGGGTTGCGGGCGATCCACGGCACAAGCAGCTACGGATCGACGGTTGCGGGAAGCACAGGTGGATCGACGACTTGGGGCAACCGCCCATTGCTGAATAACAAGCCGTATTCATAAAACTTAATGTGAACCGCTCCATATTGGACGGATCCACATTATGGTTCATATTCGGACCGGACCGGTCCATTGCGCACTTGAGCCATCTAGACCAAATGTTAAACCTCGCCACAACCATTCCGCAATAGGCAAAAATCCAGTGCATGTTGTACTTGAAAATTTGCCAGAGCAGCAGTAATGCATACAAAGATTTAGTTTTAGCTAATAAATCAGCCAAAAAAAGAAAAGAAATCGCTACACAAGTATTTTTCCTAGGAAGAAAAGAGAATTAATTTACAAGGTTATTATGATAGCAGTCATTCACTGGAACAGTAACTGCAGCTATAATTATAAAAACCTAAGGATCTTAAAATAAGAATGCTGAACTGACCTTACCATGCCTCTATTAATGATAATAATACAGTAACCATATCAATAAACTTACATGATATAGGCTAAAATGGGGACGAGCTTGTCCTGCGAAGCTGGTACCTTGGTTCCGGTAGGGGTACTGAGAGAAGTATTTTGTCCAACTCCTGCAACAGAATGAAGGAGAAACAAGTCAGTTTACAGTTGCATCGCTCAGGCAAAATCTTGCATATAAATTTCTTCTACAGTCACATTTTAAGAGAATATATCATCATCCATTCTTGTTTTAAGAGTAATATATAATATATATATGCTGCATGAGTCTAAGATATCTTAGATAAAAAAGGCATACCCAGTTTCGCTATATTTTCCATCAAGAGAAAGTTTATGACAAACTAAGAGTAATAGCTGAAACAAATGCTTGATCAAAAGAACAAGCCAACTTATGACCAGAGTGAGCTATAGGAAACTAGTGAAGAATTTTACACAAGCTAAGAGAATTGCTTTCCTGATATAGAAGCAGGCAAGTAATTTCATATCGCCTAGTCTTCTAATCAAGAACTGTTTCATCGGCTTTTAGTTTATCATAATGTTTCATCAGGATGACCAGGTGTTTCCACTGTATGATTTTACTATCATGTATGGAGTTCGTACATCAGATCATTGTTTATAAAACACAAAGTTTGCAATATGGTTTGCTGCAAGGCAATAAAACAGTAGATGGGAAACATGCAAGACAAAATCTACTGCTCATCCAAATCTACTTAACATGCTGCTAACTCCCAATGCCAATCAAACTTAAAATGCTCAGTGACTCGAGGGCACCTTCCTAACAAATACTGCAAGCCAAAAACATGTTAACAAATATACATGCTTGAATGTGAGGAAACTACAACAGTGGTATTAGGGTTTTAATCTCTTTGCCGACTACCAGAAGTAGAAAAAAAGTACTTGCAATATTACAAGAATTTCGATGACAAAGATGACAAATATAACAACACTGAAAATTGAAATAAACAAGAATTTAGCTAGATATCAGTATAAATTCTCAAGTACATAAGTAAAAAGCACAAATATTCATATTTTATAAAAAAAATCTAAATCAAGGACATATTTAGCATCTGATTATGTGTATCTCAACCTGAAATAACCCAATTGAACCTCTAAATTCAAGTTAGTGACAACTAGAGTTGTGTCAGATTACTTGAGGGCAGATTACACCAAAATATCCATTTACCAACAAGACCTAACATTATTAGATCATGAATCACTTCGTGTCTCAGTCTGTATGTCAGCATGTGCCAAGAAAGTCAAGCCTTCTTTATTCCATTGCATCTAATGGCTGAATTGTGCCATAACCCTGACCCGTATTGCCAACTTTTATAAATAACTATTTGTTGTTATGCAATGTTTAGCATCAGATGGCAACAATGCTATATCAAAGAATAAACTCTTTGCAGTTCGGAGCTATATTTCACAGGATAAATGTCCTGATGAACAAGATTATAATACATTACCATGTTTACTCAAGAGTACAAGTTCATCATTTCAACATCCAACACAGTGTTAGGATATCTCATTTAAGGATACATATTTATGGACAAACATGTCCATAAATAATCAGCCTCAAAAGGCTTTTTAAGCATCTTTATTAAATAAAGCATGTGGCTATATGAAGTAATATTAGTCTGGGGGATTCCTAAAGATAAGTTAAAAGTTGATGTCTTGTGGGAATCTTAGTTATAAAAGAAATTCTTTTCATGATCATGAACTTGTTCTGTAGCTACATGAAGTAACATTAGTCGATGGGATTGCTAAAGATAAGTGAATAGTTGAGGTCATGTGGGAATCCTAGTTATAAAAGAAACTTTCATGATCACGCACTTAATTCTGAAGGATTACATACATGAGACTTCAGAATCAAAGAAAAAGAAAAGGATCATGCTAATATCTTTATGATCAGTCGAGATTCAAGACTGGATACTTCATCCCAGCACTCTGGCAGCAAGCTGAATATCAGCTTCAGCCCCTTCATTTGAACACTGATCAAATTTATTGTTCAACTTTTGGTTACAATAGATATGTTTGGAACTAAATTACTTGATACATGCTATTGCTCAAGTTCTATTAGGTACTTTTATCTGACATGTAATTTTTCTATTAGGTATTTTTATCTGATATGTAATTTTCCATTGTAACAGTTCCTATTGTGAAGGAAGTAAGTCTACTTTAGCTCGGTTGAGATTATGATCTTTACCTAATCTTTTCGGGTTAGATTAGAATTTGATTAGATAAACATTCTTTTTCTTTTTTTAGTAGGCTTGCACTTCAAGCAACCAATACTATATATAAGAGTCAATATTAAGTTACGTATGCATGTTGTTGAGAAGATTCTTAAAGTCATGAGTTTTGTATAGGCTGGTTGTTTGTCCCTCGCATGTGCTATCTGACAAACTTGTACCAAAGTTTCAGGTAGATGTGCTATCATGATGGCAGATCATATTATTTCTCAACTGATTTTTCGTATTTAACTGTGTATTATGGAGATCCTTATCCTTATGCTCTCTACTTTATTTTAATAATAAAGAGAAGGCATACTTCTAATGGTGCATTTGAGAAAGCGATGCTTAAGACAATGGTTAAAATCTAAATTCTCAGCCAAGAGTGGTAAAAGTTCAACAGAAGGATCACAATAAAGAGACAACAAAACATGAGATTGAGATTGTGAAGCCTAAGCAACATAATGCTTAAGCTGATAATCACTCCTAAATGGTTCAAATTAAAGCTCCCAAAAAGCAATGCCACTAAAGAAAACATTTTTAATGCACACAGAAATAGCACACAAAAGTTGAGTGACTGATCAAGCACCCTAAACAACTAATTTGTCAATCCAAGGGCATTGCCAATCAAATAGTGAACAGAGAGCCAACTTGCTAGAGGCACAAGCATCAGACCACCAGATCATATAATGATTAAGGCCTATAAGTTTATATTTGGAGATCCTGTAGATCTTGAGAATGAGATCTGCACAGAGAAATCAAACAAATGCAGGACAAGCCATAGTCGAGTCTTAGGTGAATTGCATTCTTGTCTTGCTAGCATAGCCTACAAAATCAGGAATGGGATCGCTATTGGTAAATCCATGAAACAAGGATCCAAATGATAAACCTCCGAATGCCATCTAACTCAACAATTTTTTATCTTAGATCCTACAACATAACCACACACTGTTATTCAGAAAAAGATAACTGTTGTTCTTGAATTGATCAAGAATGACTCTCCAAATTAGATGTACAATAAGAAAATGAATTCAGTAACACATAACAGTAAGACAATTTACCCGAGACAAATCAGAATCCAACAAAATCAACATAGAGAAAAAAAGAATGTCTACCTTCTGCTTCTTCAGCCTCTCATTCTCTTTTTCTAGGTGAGAAACCTTGTTTTCCAGTTCATTAGTGTATGCCTGATATAACAAAATAAAGGAGTTTAAAACAACGACCTTTCCTAGAAAATTAAGAGCTTTTCTCAGCTCATGGCATAACAAAATCAGCAAAGGTAAAGAAAAACAAGCCCATAATACGTTGCACATCACCTGCTTCCTAGCTCTTGAACGTGCAGCAGACTCCCGATTCTTGATCATCCTTTTGTGTCTCCTCTCAGCTAATATGTCCAAATCTTCTGAAGCTCCATGTTTTCTACTAGGAGTTTGAGAATCAGAAAATGCACCCAGTGTTGGTGATGATATATTTATCTGACCCTCAGGAAAAACAGCCTCAAGCATAGGACCAGTACCAGCACCCATTGGCTGTGGAAGCACACAGTTTGGCATATAAGCCCCTGTCATGCTTTGTTGCCCATGTATCTGCTGATCAATAGTAGCCATCCGCTGAAATTGCTGCAACCAACTTGTTGCTCGCATAAAATCCTGTGTCCCGGCAATCAGATCAGCATTTCCTACAGGATCCACATTCCCGGTCAGATCATTTCTGTCTTTCCCAAAGTCCTTGGCAACCACCCCAGCCTTCACAAGAAAGTCCTCCAGTGTCATCTCACCAAGTGTCGGCTGCCTACCATGACCTGATCCTTGCACCTCATCACCTTTCTCATTTCCCAACTGAATGTCTCTCCACACTTGGTCCACCGTCTTTTTGCTCAGCTCTCGTGACATAGTAATGCTTCCCTGGCGATGGAGACCAGAGTCGGAGGCATACTGGTCTCCTGGACTATCAATATCCATACTCGATAACTGGTTACCCTCGGCTGCAAACACAGTCTTGAGGAGATCATCGAGGTTCATGCTATGAAGGGGTTCTCCCAAGTGATTCTGGACTTCATTAAGGGTCATATTATAGAACGACCCTTGCCTGGATAGGCCCTGAGTCTGGGAACGCTGGCCATCGCCGCTGTTGCCAACCCCACCCTGCGATGCCATTGTCATTACGCCCATCAACCAACTCCTCCAACAAAATACATCAGTGATCACAGCCTCCGGCTCAAACCCCACATGCAAAGTTGTTGAATACACAAACAATCCTCCCACTTCCTAACACTGCATCAACTTTCTGAGCACATGAACCACAAATCTCTCGCAATCTGTTAATCAAAAGACAGCAAAAATCAAAAGTAAATCCATCTTAAAGACTCGGCATTTCTTCGACAAACCCTACTGCATTCTTAAAACGAGCAAGAACAACTATCAATTTAAAGAAAAAGACCAAGAAATAAAATTAGACAACCCCCAAATAAATTCAAAGACGCATCCAACAAAAATCCAACTTCCACAACAAAACTGGGAGTCGGCCCTTCCCAGAATCCGACCAAAAACCCTTGGTTCTTTTTTTTGTCTTTACTTCACTTAGATCATCTTTTCGTTCTCCCCAAAATTTCATCCCTAACAAGGAACACATACAAAAGCAGAGCCCCATCAACTCCACTCACCATCATCAGCTGGAACAGCATCCATCGATCTTGGGGTCGACATTGCTTGCTTGCATCGAACCTGGGATCGAGGGAGGGAGGGAGAGGCGTCGCCGGTCGACAAAGCGACGCGGGGCGCGGGCGCCCCACAAGGAAGAGAAAAGCCCACGGTTTTCGAGCCCGCCCCGTTATGTTTATAGAGCGTGATATCGGCCATCGCCACCGGGACCCACAACTGGTTTGGACATTTCTTTATTACCTACGGCTCATCTACCGATGTCTTTACCTGCTTCATGATTTGTTCTAACAGATACTTTGCGACGAGTTACGAGAGGCTACCGTACATAAAAGATGTCCGAAGTTGTTAGTGTTGCTATGGTCGTATACACTTCGACTGACGAGCGTATTTTGGGTTACATTAGCTGAACACAGGAAATGAAGTTTCAGTTTCTGATTGATTCATGTGATGTATGGTTTCGATTGATAAAATGATGGTGCAATAAATATGACATGTACTATGTACTTTATATACGATGAGCATAATAAATGTTGTGGTCACAAGAATGATCTTACTAGCAGCATGTAGTGAGTAATAAAGTGTAGTGAAACAAATGTGTTTGGTAGGCATGTAAACCTACCAAGCATTATAACTTGACCTTTAATTACAGTAGAGTTTCTTTACCAGCTTGTCTTATAGTTTGTGCTTCATCTGCATGAAGAAATGGTGGCAGCAAGATAGATGCAAGGAAAAAATGAAGAAAAATGGAGAAAAGTATGTAAGATTCTTATAGATTTGATCAACTTTTTACCATCAGTAAGTACAAAAAAATTTCAAAGAACAAGCCATTCTATTTTGAAGCTAATATAATTAGCCTGATGGCTGGTACATATCGCGAACTGGTTGCAAAACCTTGAAATCTTTAAGCGAGGGGGCCATTTCATGAAACCCCACTTGGTCTTGAATTGAGAACGTACTCTTAAAGATCGTTGAATGGTATAGATTTGCCAATCTCCACTCCAATTCATGAGCATGATCCTCTTGTGGGAAGAAACAGAAACCATTTGATATATTGAACATATTTGTCTACTCAGAAATAGCTGGCTCTCGAAGACAATCTCTCTTCAGCACCTACTTTCATGTTGGGGGTGGATAAACCCTGCTTCTTCAATCTGTCATCGCTCACTCCAACCTCCACAATAAAAGCTGCACAGACCGGGCGGTGATCGGAAAATTTAGACTCCCCTCTGATGTAAGACAGTTGCACAATTCCATCACCATGCCATAATATGCGATCACACCTGAAATTGTTGATCTTGTTAGATGTTGCGACACACGGTTTTCACATGAATTCTACTCTACTCTTACAGTAGCAGTATGTGAACCTTTTCCTCCAAGTAGCAACAGCTGGAATAGCTGTTTACACTGACTTGCAGAATGTGCACCTCAAACGATACAGTTTAGTTGATACAGAGCAAAAAGGAAAAAGATGATCTTGAACTCATAAAATTTGCATCAACTATTAAAATCGTTAAGGAAAGGCATAAGTATATTTTTATTTCTGTGCTATTCAAAATATGAAGGTAGAAGGCAAAAACACCATCTTAGCAGAAAACATTAGTCTTAATGCGGTTTAGTTGATTGAATCCAGTGGCTAACAAACCATGCAGGGGTTCTTCGTTTCTTTTTCGATGTCACAATCTCTCCAGCATAAGTATCTGAGTTGTTGGAGTATTTGTATGTTGGTGCAAAATATATCTTCCCTTCTTTCCATCCCTTGAACACTCGCCCAGCTTCTCTTTCGATCTTGAGCTATCAAAACAATCCGGATGAATAAGATCACAAAGCTGAAACTTTTGCAACACATAATGATCGAGCAACCAATTAGCAAAAGTATTCAATGAGTTGGATGCTTCATTTGCTTGGCATTTTGATCAAGAACAAATTACCTGATCCTTCTCGAAAAGAGAATCCCAGTCATTCTCCTCGAGAAGTTTCTTGGTTTCAGTATAGCTCAAAGCGATACGGTAATTCAGGTCTCCCAACCATATGATACGACTGAGTTAACAGATCAGAAAGAAGGATCGATCGATGCATTAATTGACAGATCTCAGTGCGATAGAGCAGAGTACAGGTTTAAAGAAATGCTTACTCATGCTCGAGAATTTTCTCAGGGATTCTTCGGCCAGATCTTCTGCAAACCTTTTTAAATTGAGTGTGTTTAAGTATTTCTGAGACATCAGAGTTTCTCCTTAGCTCATCTCCTTCTTTCTCCCCTGAAGCCAAGTGGCTGCAGACGAAGCAAAAGCTTGTTTGGTGCAGAGACATGCTCACACTGATGCATCCCTGCGGTGAGAAGAAGAAGAAGAAGCAGGTCTTAAATCAAAGCTGATACCACCAGGATGGATGCAGATAGAGAGGCTGATGAAAACTATGACAAGCCCTCTTCTCACCTTATTGCCAAGATAACCCATTATGCCCCGTCCAACACAAGAGAGTCTTAGGTGACCTAGATGTTGGACAAGTTCCCTCCTCACCCAAACAGTAACAAAGATCCCCACCATCTGTTTGCTGGCTATGAGACTGTACCTTTGCTGATTACTCGTAGGTGTGGTGGGTAAACCAGCCACCGAAGAACTGCTTGGTTCATCGTCTTCCTCCTCATCTGTGGAATCGTCGTCACTGATATGAGCATGTTGGCATCTGAAACATGACTCCCTGTAATATTTCCTCGTCACTTTGGAGGGGCAATTGCATGCTCTCAGGCGTCGGCCCTGCTCCGTCCTGTAAGTTTTGCTTATAGATTTCAGTAATGGCTTCTGGAAGAATAATGTACCGCTGTGCATCTTTGAATCTCTTGAGATTGGAGTCTTCATGCCGGAAGCTTGAGAAGATATAGAGGTGGTGTAGGGAGATGGCGTGTGTGAGTCAGTGTCAGTCTCAGAATCCGTTGAACCGTTCAGTGCTTCGTCGATTAGGGAGAGCCATTTTGCTGCTGGCTCGTTATCCTCGATAACAAGTACATTTCCTGCATTCAGAGGGACTATCTCCTGAAACCTGGAAGATCACAAGAAACAGAAACATAAGGTTCATTCAGGACCGCGAGCAACCCATGATACAAATTCAATACTCTGTCCTAAAAAAGATATGAAGCAATCCATACCCTAAAACATATATATCCGAGTGATCATCGGCAGGAAGGAAATCATTGAGATTAAGCCCCATATGAGGGGTATTTCCTCCAACATTCCATGTCGCGACGAATATCCTAATTTGTAAACGTAATGGAGGCATAACATTAGAAGAAGGAATACGAGATGAGGCATAACAGAAGCAAGCAACAAGGATACAAGCCACCTGAAGGCCTCGGTGTTTACTGCGCTTGGTGATCGACATGAGTAGTCGCTGAAAATTAAGCTCCCAAACCTTGACACGCTGTCTGTTTCTTGAATGGTGTTCAAGAAATGGTATCAGATTACAAGAAAGGAAAGATAATTTTACAGGAAACATGAAGTATGGAAACTGTAAATGAAGATAAAAAAGAAAGACAAGCTAGGGATGTACCTGAAAAGCTTTTTCTAAGGACAGGTGAGGAGGTTGAGAAACTTGGAGTTCCATGAAACTCTTCTGGTTTGCAGATACAGACACAGAGTCAAAAAAAAAAAAGGGGCAGCTAAACTAAGAAATCATAGTAGTTATCGATAAATCTGTATTTACTAAACGAAATGTTTTGGATGTAGGAATCTGGTCGATCAGTATATAACAAGCTTGCTTGCTGAAAGCAAAAATGATGACTGCAACAAAAAATTACACATGAAGAATGGCGTTAAATCAAAAGCAGAAGCTACCAGAGGCGTTGGATGGGCTCGCATTTGCGGCACTCTTATCTTTGGTCTGAACGATTTTTGGAAGAGAAAACTGCAGCCAGCACCATCAAGAAAAAGAAAGAAACAGGAGGAAAGATTAATTGCTTGCTCAGGTCACCAACACAAAACCAAAGTCAACAAAGAAGAATAGCTTACACTAGATTTAATAACATTCCTCACCATATTCTCAAAAGAAAAAGAAAATTACCCTTTTCCATGTGTCACATCTTAAGGTCATCTTGATAAAAAGAAATCCCAGCTTCCTGTTCCCAAATCACAAAGAAACTTGAATCAGATGTATAACTGGAAAGCGCGAGAACAAAAGAAACCAAAGCCAATTCACCAGCACTGAATCAAGAAACAGAAGAGACCTTTACAGGTTCAGGATAAAACCTCGAATCTAAGTAGGAGAAGATGCAGTCTAGTTAAAGAAACGACTTCCATATACTGTCACGTACGAAAGAACAAAAGTGTTTCTGACAAAGAAAGAGGGGCGCAGTACACATGAAAGATCTCATTGTCAGACCTCAGCAGTCTCCAAAGCTAAACACAGGGAGCTGTTCCCCACTTCTCTGTTCCAAATACAGCAACCCACCACCAATGGAACAGTCCATGAGGAGGAGGAGGAGGAGGAGGAGGGACAGAGCGGAGCAAGCAATAGAAGACGGCGTCCTTTCCGCCTCGAGAACAACGCTCGCTCTGATCTCTCTCTCTCTCTCTCCTTGCGAGACGAAACCTCCTTTGAGCCGATCAAAGGCCTAGCTTCACGTGGTGTTCCTGGGTCCGTCCGCAGAAGCGGTCAAACGAAGGGCAGCTGGTCTTCGAGGAATAGAATAGCGTTTGCGTTGGAACAGCCGTTTCGCGGCCCTTGGTTCTTCTTCCCCAACTCCGATGCGGTTGCCCTCCTCGCTATGCTCCTACCCCATTCCCATCACTGCAGGCGGGGGGTTGAGTCCACCTCGACGTGAAAAGGGGTGCACCCCTAAGGGGAAAAAGAAGGTGATGCTATCAGGAGCTTCAACCCCACGAGGCATCTCGAGAAGCATGGAGCGTCGGCCCCACGAATTGGATACTTTGACGGTTCAACCCTGATGGATTCGGTACGTCCTCAAGCCCAACTTTGTAGGACGCGGCTGTGGTTTGGGACGAGTCTAAGGGTCAAATACGTCATTTTCTGAAGGATCCACTTGCGATCTTTTAGGAAATGTGAGTTGTGAAAGTCTTCTTGAACGTGAAAGCCGGTATGGCTTCCGACCCCTCCGGCAATCCGAAAGACTCGTTATAATAT